CGCCGCTTCATTTTTCTTGGCTTAATTCCTCTTTCCGCTTCTTTCGCTGTCGCTTATTTCGGTTTGAAAGTGATAGCGAGTGAAGCCCTGGACCGTTATCGATGATTCGTCGAAAAAAGTGAAAGCATCAAATAAGACTTTAAGAAGAGACGAGAAAAGAGAGACGCGAGAGAAACAAGAATAACGGAAGGGAAAAATAAAGAAGGGTAGAGAGAGTGAGAGAGAGAGAGAGTGAGAGAGTGAGAGAGAGAGAGTGAGAGTGAGAGAGAGAGAGTGTATGTGTGTGCATGTGTGTGCACGAGAGACAGTGTGGGTGAGAGAAAGAGAGAGTGTGTGTGTAGATGAGAGAGCGAGAGAAAGAGAGAGAGAGAGAGAGAGAGAGAGAGAGGAAGAACGAATGAATTAGAGAAAAGGAAAGTAAGAGAATAGTACTATGGCTCATTGTTGGATTGATTATTGACAAGCCACGTGGAGAAATAGAGAGTGAAGGACGAGAAAGAGAAAAATTATGATATTGTCATGGGGAGAATCATATGGTGAGGTGAGAGTGCAAAAAACGTGATCCGTGATTATTTCAAGTCTTGCAACAAAGTTGTCCAATTTCCCTACAAAAAAAATATTATTATTTTGCATAATTTTTTGGAAATTTTGATTGCTGCTATCAACCACTGCCAATTAATCAGAGAAAATATTAAAATTTAAGAATTAAAATGATTATGCTATGATACTGATCGATACGACTTATTGGATGGACAACACCGGACAAGGATTTATATCACAGGCAAAAATTGACTATTTGCGTTCCATCAACGTGAAAGCAAAAAATACCTGTTTGTTAATTTTCCATATATCATCCTTTTCTACTTTGAAATCTTCAAAAGAAATATTGGTTTACAACTTTGGGAGCAGTAGTAAAGTTTTAAGATTCAGTTGGTAAGTGAAATTTTAATTTCTATTATTCTTCTTCCTACAGCTCGCAAAAGATTCAATTAAATACACATATATATATATATATATATATATAATCCATTATAATTAGAGCTCATAAAGCTGTATGTACAAATGACGGTGAGCGTGAAAGTGTTGAAAAGTTTCCAAACTAATATGCACGCTGATGTATATGTTAGACAAATCTAAGAAATTATGTTAAAAAGTATTTAATTTAAAATATTTTACACTAACAATTTAATTGGTAAAAAGAAGGCGACTACTTGTTTTGATAGAATACTTTGAGAAATTAATGGTTTGTCGTAATGAATAAAATAAACTTATAAAAGTTGTAAATGTCGTCAGAAAATGAATTAAGGATTGGTGATATTATCATAGAAATCTTAAGTTCGTTATCTATAACCTTATTTCTCTCAATGTTATTTTTATTATAAACCAACAATTATGACGAATTGTAGATACCAAGAGATAATGTTTGTGTATTTTCATTTATCTGATAGTAATAATATGAAATCAGTTTCTTCATTTCATAATTTCATCTACACAATACGAGAACGCATGTAGCAATAAAAGCGCGAAGCTCTTTATTCTCAACACATATACATAAAATCATGTATTAAAGTTATAAATTATATTAATATAATTTGACATTTTAACAGTTGAAAAAGTTTGATTTAATATTTTTCTATGTTTTTTTTTGTTTTTTTTGTTAGTATAATATAAAATAGCTAAATTGAGTTTTACCCAATTCTTTTACATTTTATTAAACACGCATACTATACACACACATAATATACACCAATTTCACAATACTTTTATTTTAAGAAATTTCATCTTATATATTGAAAATTATTTATGTATAATAATAAAAAAAACATAAGAACGTCTTTTTTTTCAATATATATTAATATTATAAAATTACGATTAAGTTATATTGAAGCATAAAGAAATATAAATAAGAAAACTACAATTTACTTTAAATGAGTTTGCTTTGAAGAAATTCGATGCTATTCACCATACACACTAAAAAATTCCATGAAAATTTTATTTTAACATTAAAAATTAATAATTTAATATATAACAATTGTATTTTGTAATTTTGGTGAAATTATTTAACTAGTTGGTGAAAAATATTAACCTTCGTAGATCATTTAGTATAAATAAACGATATAATGAAATATTTATCTAAGTATTATCAAAACTTTAATCAGTAAATAAATATTTAAGAAATTATCATGGCAGATAAAATTTTTCGATTTTATTTTGTCGATGATGTAATTAATAGTTTTCAAATGGTATTTCAAAGAAACGGATGCAATCGTTTTTCGGCATTAGCAATGTTTCGCAGAGAAAGTGTGCGATGGCACTTCCTCTCTTTCAAAATAAAATATTTGACTTTCTGTAGAGATGTCTCTAACGTCTTACGTGACTAACTGAGTGTCACTGTAAAACACATTACCTAATCCTCTTCTTGTATTTCTACATTGAAAAGATTAGGTATTTGTGATAATAATATAATTTACCATTGTAATATTGGTTTTTTTTTTTTTTTTTATTGAACATAAAACTTAAATCTACGCATTACTTAAGACTAGTGATAAGCAATCTTTGTCTAAATGCTTTTCAATATTAATACGTTTACCTAATACAAAAAATTTTTCCTGGGTGGGTTTTTATAGAAGTTTGAGTATAAATTTGATATATTATATAATATTTACATAGGTACATAATAATAATATGCAATAAAAATATTTATTTATATTCTTTTTAATATATTATCCAAACAAATTTTAAATGAAAGGTATAATATAAATAATTTAAAATAATACGTAATTAATAATGATATTTGTAAACTATATAATAATAATCAATAGCCTTTAATAACTTTGAAAAGAAAATAAATAAAAGGAAAAAAAGCACAGACTTAAAGACTTTATAGTAAGATATTGGGATGTAAAACTGTAATTTCGTTATGAATAAATGATTTGAAAATTTATAATGAAACTGAAAAGATGCAACAGGTTTGTGAATTGAGAAAGTCTTCATTATTTAGAAATTGAAACTAGAATGTAAAAGAATTTGAAATTCTCATTAATGCGATCACTCAAAACGACAATCCAAGATCAATCTCGATAAATCTAAAAAAAAAACTTTTTTTCTATTTTTGTATAAGTATTGCCATAAAGAAAAAGTGAATTCTTCTACATTTGAATGAGAAAAATGACGAAAACACGAATGATCAAACTAATTTCCAATACTTAATAAGTGCAATCTCTCATTCGCCACAATGGCTGAAAGAAGTTATCTGCGTGCTGAGTAAAATAATAAAAGAGGAAAGCATTTCACAGACTATTCACTGCTTTGATTCCTATTTCGAGGGAATAAAAAACGTTTGAGAGACAAAAAGCAGCAGCCGTGTCGGCGGCGAGTATTTAAAACTTATAAGCGGTGAGTGGTGCGAAAAAATCCGTTACACAATAGAAAGTGTTCATCTTGAAAGGGTATCTGTGAATTAGACCGTGAAGAGGCATTCTATTTTCAAGGCCGCACAATAAAGAGAGTCTTAAGATGCGCATCTGTGAATATTCATGGAGAATTGATGACCATAAAGATTTCTACAGCGGCCATCTCTGGATCACCTTCTCCCTCAAACTAGATGCAAACCTTGTTTACATTATAAAAAGTATGTTTTCTTTTCAATTGCCATTTTAATTCGTAAAGATTTACTTCAAGTTATTGATTCATTCAAATTATGGATCGCGTTTAAATATCGTCTTCATTCATACGATTTAAAGAATTAATTGATTTAACGAAACATTAGAAATTATCGAATGGTTAAAATAAATGTTATTCAAACTGTATTATTTATCTAATTTACATATAACACTTCAAATTCTTTCAAGAAAATTTTGTATTTTTCTTATTTCTTATTTCTTATAACTTCATATTAGATTTTGTAAGAAAAACTCCAACTTAATTTCAACAGAAATTGATAATTGTTTTTTTTTCTGATAAATTATCAGTCTACGACGTGTAAAATTATTAATTATGTTATATGCCGTTTTTGTAATAAATTTAAGTAATTAGATTGAAATTAAATAATTAAATAAAAATTTAATTAGAAATTTGTAATATCTTTATAATTAATAGTTAATAGCTTATATAATTGTTTGTTATTTATTCCTCGAACTATTTGACGTTATCCATATTTAGCTTAAATAAAAATAATAATTCGATTGATTTGACCTATGGTGAGAACATAAATATATGATTAAATTCTATTATTATGAAATTAAATATGAAACTAAAAAATTGTTAATATAATTTTTATTTATACTATTAATATATTAATATTTTTATTTATAATGTTTTATAAATTAAAAATAAATCTAATTCACTTCGACAACATAACGATTATTTTATTTATATTTAATCACGTGCTGCTTATTAAAATAGCGCATTGAAACATGGCGGTTTTTTTTTTTTTTTTTTTAATTAAAATCGTTCAAAATCGTTTAACTAACCGTGATTTTTATAATATTTTTTTCGAAGTAATATTATCTTTTAAAAGTCTTGAATAAATAATATAATTATTATATATATATATATATATATATATATATATATTTATAAATAAACAACGATACATATAGATTTAAATATAAAAATTATAATATGTCAAATTATAATATATTTCAGAATATTAAATATTGCATGCTTATATAAATTATTAGCATTTAATAAAAATTATTCAAACACTTTTAATAAAAGGATTTTGAACGATTTTAATGAAAAAAAGCCGCTTTTTTCAATACGTTACTTTTACTTTTTATTTACATATTTGCAATAATGTACATGGCATACACGTATGGTTTTGTGTATTGCATAATATGTGCAAATATATGGGCTGCGTAGATATATAGATATATTACAAGTATATACTTGTATATACATGTATATACATATATATATATACATACAAATAAAATAATCAATATAGTAATTGTTTTATTACATAAATGAAATTATTTTAAATAAATGAACATTTATTTTACATTTCCTAGTTACAATTATTTAATTTTCCAAAAATTTCAAAGGAAAAAAGGATGACAAAACCTTACTTTCTTACTTTTTCATATCTTATTATATAATTTTCAATTATAAAAATTATTTATCATTTCTTAATTCAATATTCTTGATTGCATTTTGATTACTTTTTATAAAATTTCTATATTTATTAAATATAAATATAAACATACTAGTTATTTATGAAATATTATGATGAATATTACACATGTTACATAAATAATGAGTTTTATTATAGATGTCATATCATTATTTAGTCTTTAAGTAACTTAGAAAATATGTGTCATTCATACATGGATTGTTACTTAAGAAACTATGTATTTATAAATTAGATGTTATAAATTGTCTTTACTGTCTTTTAATCGAATATTGTCGAATTTATTTTAAAATTTTTAAAATTATGATCTTAATAGGTAAAAAGTTAAGTATAACATTGTTCTTGCGTGGTATAATTTAAAACGCTAATTCTTCTGTAAAAACTTTTCTGAATAGTTAAAACATATTCTAATTAAATAGAATAAATTTGTTACTATGAAATTATTCACATTATCATGAATATCCATAAATATTCATTCTACAATAACAGAAAATAATTAGTTTTATCAAATTTATATTTTATTCGAATAATGTAGAATTTAAAACAAATAATCTTGTAAACATATAAAATTCTATTATATTATTAGAAAGTATATGATATCAATATATATTTGTTTAAATAAAATTTACTTCGTTAAAAAGAAGTACTATTCAGGCTTAAAATATTTACACGAATTACAAATTTTTTATTTTCAAATTAAAATTAAAATTCCTTTACGAATTGTTCCATATTTTTATTCCATTTATTCGTATATGTGATTCAGCAATTTATATATATCTATATCTATCTATCTATATATATT